TAAAAGCCCAAGCTTTTGGAAAGTTACCAACTGAAAAATGGTTCTGCCTCAGCTGTCATTGTGACAAGCTGAGCAGGAACGACAGACTGAGCCTCATGAATGAAATCCAGACACGTTGTGGACGGAATGATGGCTGCAGCCTTGAAGCACAGCTTCAAGGAGAAGTTATTCAGTGGCCTCCCTTAGAGGCCACATGATCGTTTTGCTCCTCTGGGATCGGTGTAAAGACTGGCGGTTTGGGGAGGAATGTACTCCCGGCTGGAAAACACTCGCAGTCCACACAGAGGTCCTTCCTGCTGCCAGTTCTGCTTAGAGACTGAGCCGAGCCAGCAGCCCAGAGCAGGCCTCCATTCTGGTACCGGAGCAGGAGATGCTGCTGGTGATGATGATGAACATCCACATGGATTAATGATTTACCTGATGGTGGGCACCAAAGTTAGCTATGCTAACCCTATAGCACTTATAAACATCAGTTCTGCCAACACTAAAGTGCCATGTCAGCATAATATTTACCTGAAGCTAATGCTGACACATTATACCAGCATAATTTTTATTGGGAGCTAATGCTAAAGCGCTACCAGCATGGTATAAAGTAATAGTGACTCTTTGCATGTCTGTGGTTATTTTAACACTCTGCTTGTTTCAGTGATGAATTCGTCTCACCCCGTCAAATAAGAGCATGAATATAAACACCTATTTCAAGAATTTCCAAACCAAAACTTCAGCCCAGATGTCAAACTTTACTTAACTGAAAGTTTACAAAACAGTCAAGTAAATTAGTGCTTTATCATTTAAAATATGACTTCTTTATAAATTAGCTCTGCTATTAACGGATTAGCTGGACCCAGCACTGGATTACTCATATTTTAAGAGAGCAGCCTGAAATCCCAGCTGCAGGTTATAATGCAAACGATTCTCATTTATCTGCTGAGTGAGTGAAAAGTTTGCCTTTCGTCTCCATTACTCGGCTGTCAGCCTGTCAGGTGCTGCTTGGATCTGCGACACATGAGCAGAAGAAAGTCCGAGCAATGAAACGTGTGCATGGCAGCTCATCATGCCAGGATGTAAGAGCTGCTGGCTTCTGACAGCTTCACTCTGCTGATGTGTTCAGCGTTGCGGCCAGAAGCCGGTGTGGTTTTTCAGCAGCAATGCATCTGGCTGCAGCGGCTCGGCAGCGCCGGGCCAAGCTGAATCCAGAAGAGCTTTGACATGTCATGGAACCATTAGAACTTCATGTGAACCTCATGGGCTGGAATAAAGACCTCACTTGACAAATAGACTGAAGAAAATGAAAGGGATGTCTGAGGATGGAGTAGAGAGCTGAGCTGCACCACCTCCATCATTCTGACCAGAGAAAAAGCAGGAACCTGATCGGTTGGGTGCTGAGGAGCTCAGTCTGCTCCCATTTCCCGGTTGATTGTTGCAGGACTCTTCCAGGCTTCCTGCAGGCTGCTGATGCTCAAGAGCTGCAATTTCTACTATTTCACCACATTTCATGATTTGATGAATGGTTGGAAATCTCTGCAGCATCCTAACAGTCTTAGAGGGATTTTACTTTCATTATGACCTGAAAGTAAAATCACTGGGTGTTCTTCATACCTGGCATTTTAAAATGGGTCTGTAACCAAACAACGGCCATAAATTTTATAAGAAATATTTCTGAATACATAAAAGTGCTGCAGTTTAAAAGTTTGCAGGTTCATAATTTTTACTTGATTTTACATGATTTTTCTTTCCAAAGTCTTAGAGTGGGCGCCATAAGAGTCCTGTTTGCAGATTTGTCATGGTGATGCTTTTTATAGAAAAATGATAGTGCTAAAGTCTTTATAAGTGTGTTGAACTTTGGTTTCTGAAGTCACATGACCTTCTGCATTGGCCAGAGGCATGGTTTATAATAAATCTTTATTTCTGCTGTGTTTTGAATGCCACTCCCAGAGCGGATCAGATCTGCAGCTGCAGGCGTCAGATAAGCTGAATATGTTTCTTATGGAGGAGCCTGTCCTCGTATATTGTCTTATAAATATTGAACTTTGTGTCGTTGGGAGTAAAAAAATATTTCAAACTCTAAGTTAGAGCTGACACTATTGCTCTTGTCTTTTGCAAGATTCCTAATGAACTTGGTGCTAAAAACTTGGTGCTAAAATTAAGGCTATTTCACGCAGCGGCTGCTTCTTTGTCACAGGATCTACTGATCTGACTAGTGATGGGCTGTAACTGGTAGCTGAGCGGTTCACACTGGGAGAGGAGAAGGAGACCAGTAACTCATGTTAACTTTGGAGAAGCAACATGAGTCTGGACTGACTTCTTCTTCTGCTGATAAAAGTTCAATAAAGGGTCATTTTAGTGTGTTTACATATCAGTAAAATGTGATATGTAAACACAATGTTTGAATATTCAAATATTCTGGTTGAAATATTCTGCTTCTGGGCTGGATAAATCCAGTCCATGTTGGAAGAGACTTAGACTTACACTCTAAGTGATCAAATTAGAGATACTATTAATGAAGTAGAGAAACAATAGCAGAAACTTGTAGTCATCTGCTGATTCAGAAACCAACTTCTTCTCTGTACGTTTCTGCTTGGTGCTGTGATGGATCACAGGAAACCCAGTCAAAAGGACACATCATGGCGTCTACTGGATATCGTTACAGATATTGCATCTCAAACATTTTCCTTTCTAAATTGGTGTTAAAGAAAAAAAAAGTCACTTTGGCTACCAGCGCTAATGCTAGCATACTGAGGTAACCCAGAGGGTGGCCAGCCTCAGCATGCTCATCACTAGCAGCCGTTACTTAGTCACCAGTTCCAGCCGATCATTATTCAAATCTTTGGAATGGATCTGACCTCCTGCAATAAGGAAGTAGCCACCACTGTGTGCAGCAGTTCCAGTTTCGCCAATAATCCTGCGCTCTGCTTTCAGTGTTTGGTAAATCACAGTTTTTCCTGCTGCACAGAGAAACTTTTCATCCATGTTATGCACACCTTTCCAGTTGTTTAGAGACGCAGCTGGTCTGTTGCAGCATCATGTGGGGCATCCTGGCTGCACAAAGCTGGAGTCAGGTGGCATGCTGCAGTGGGGCAGACACGCCGTGCTGCATCTGCAGAGGAAAATTTATGTTTCCACTCTCATCCTGCTAAGAAATCAGGATATTTCATTAAAGTTGCACACTAGTTGGCGCTGTATTCAACTCACAACAATCTGGAATATGAAGCCAGCTGGACTGACGACCTACAGTATGTTTGATCTGCTGACCTTCTAATGCAGGAGACACTGCGACAGAAGTTATAGCAGAACATGTAGCAGAGGAGAACAATAGGAATTTAATGAACAATAAAATGTTCTTCTTGACAAAGGATCATATTTTAAAAATTGATTTATGTAGATTTAATTTAAAAACTGTCCCTCAGATCATGGCTGTCTTATTTCATGCATTCATACCTTTAAATGTGTTTAATTTCATTTCTCTTTCCTCTGATTCAATTTTTGTCCCACATAATAAAAATAATGTGATGAATTGCATGAGGAGAAACCCCCCCGCCACACACACACACACACACACACACACACACACACACACACACACACACACACACACACACACACACGTCCACCTTTTCTCCACCCATTTCTCCTTGAGCTAATTACGTGTGTAAATTGTGACGACCACAGGGAGATTACAACCTTGTTCGCTCGGTTTGTTATCACTCGTCGTGTGTCATTTATCAAACCTGCAATTACAACACCTCCACTCGGCTTTTGCTGCAGCTTCTTTCTCACAGGGGCTCATTAAGCAAATTGTAGCCATCATTGTCTGAAAGGAGAGCATGATGGGCGTGCTGCTCTGTCAGAGGAGCAGGACATGTTGGACAAGGCCTCGCCGTCTCTGTAAGGACTCCTGGAGAGACACACACCCTCCCTGACCCCTGACCCCAGCTGGCGGTCCCAGCAGCCATTCACACACACAGCTTGTGGGTGATGAAGCAGCATTGGGTTAGGTCACGCAGGCTCATCCCACACAAAGGGCTGCTCCAATTGTTCCTTTTGGCGAATGCTGCTGCCTACAGGGAGAAACCAAATGTCCATATTTATTCTTAAATACCTTTAAACATGGATGTATCTAACGCTTTGCCTTCCGGCCCTGATCCTGGCAGCAGGAGCCATCCTCTTTCTAAACTCTTCCTTTCCTCCAGCAGTGTTTTTTCCTGACCGTCGATGTCGAGCCGTTCTTCTAAAGGCAACAACTCAGATCTTTAATTAAAATATTTGATTCAATCCATGAATCAGTTTTCTCTCTTGTGCTTTTCTGAATTCAGACGTCTTTGGTTGTTGGAGGAAACTGGTTGTTTTAAATTTGGTCAGTCCAATAAATCCAGCTGGTCAGTAAAATGTAAAGTTGACCTGAAACCAAATGGTTCTTTGCTTCTGTTCTGTTCTCACAGCAGGTCTGGTGCTCAGTTCCAATGTGTTTCCCGTTCGTCCATTCTAATGATTAAATTGATCAGACTTCTTTGTGAATCAGTATTTTGTTGGTCCAGTTTGTGGTGTGTTCACTGACTCAGCCTGCTTCCAGTACTTCATTATTATCATCTTTACATCCAGATTTACTGTCTGGTTTCTCCTGGAGCTGAATTATGCTGCTTGTCTCACGTCACTAAAGTTGGATAAAATGCAACATGACCTTCACTCTGCAGACACGTTGCATACTAACAGCTTTCATGTGACACAAATTGGACTTATTGGTGGTGAAAAGATCAGAATTGTTCCATTCAGATTAAATGAAAAAGTCCGATTTGGTCTCATCCCCCTGCTGTTCAATGCGCCCTCATTTCTGGTTTGGTGTAGCCATGTGATCACTTTTTATGACTGTTATTGCAAACAACAGTGAAATATTGTGTTTTCTGCTTGTGGAATGCAGAGGGTCATATTTATGGACTGTGTTTTGCTCATTTAGCTGCTGATTTGAGTCACATATCAACGTTTTTCTGTTTTTCTCTTCCCAGCCGAGCCATTAAGACCAATCAGGACCTGCTTCCGGAGACGCCCTGGACCAACATCTTTTACGATGACTTCTGGGGAACCTTGCTGACCCACAGCGGCAGCCACAAGTCCTACCGGCCCCTCTGCACCCTGTCCTTCCGCCTGAACTACGCGGTGGGCGGCCTGGAGCCCTGGGCTACCACGCCGTCAACGTGGCACTGCACGGCGCCGTGACCGTCCTGTTCACCTCTCTGGCCCGCCTGCTGCTGGGCGGAGGGCCGTGGAGCCTGCTGGCCGGCCTGCTGTTCGCCTCCACCCAGTCCACACCGAGGGTGGCGGGCGTGGTGGGGCGGCCGACGAAGGCGCCGCCTGTTCTTCCTGCTGTCCTTGCTGTGTTACGTCCGTCACTGCGGGCTGCGGGGCGCGCCGGGCCCTGGCGGCTTGCAGCATGGCTCCTGAGCAGCCTGGCCTGCGCCGCCTGCAGCATGCTGTGGAAGGAGCTGGGAGTCACCGTCCTGGCCGTAGCGGCTTTATACGACGTCTGCGTTTTCCACAGACTCAAAGTGAGACAGAGCATTCTGCTGCTTTACAAGGTAAAAATCTTTGTTTCTGCCTGAAGGGAAGGAGGTGGATCACTCTGAGGTGGATCACTCTGAGGTGGATCACTCTGAGGTGGATCACTCTGAGGTGGATCACTCAGAGGAGGATCACTCTGAGGTGGATCACTCAGAGGAGGATCACTCTGAGGTGGATCACTCAGAGGAGGATCACGCTGAGGTGGATCACTCTGAGGTGGATCACACTGAGGTGGATCACTCTGAGGAGGATCACTCTGAGGAGGATCACTCTGAGGTGGATCACACTGAGGTGGATCACTCTGAGGAGGATCACTCTGAGGTGGATCACACTGAGGTGGATCACTCTGAGGAGGATCACTCTGAGGTGGGATCACTCTGAGGAGGATCACACTGAGGTGGATCACTCTGAGGATCACTCTGAGGTGGATCACTCTGAGGAGGATCACACTGAGGTGGATCACTCTGAGGAGGATCACTCTGAGGTGGATCACTCTGAGGAGGATCACTCTGAGGAGGATCACTCTGAGGAGGATCACTCTGAGGTGGATCACTCTGAGGTGGATCACACTGAGGTGGATCACTCTGAGGAGGATCACTCTGAGGTGGATCACTCTGAGGAGGATCACACTGAGGTGATCACTCTGAGGAGGATCACTCTGAGGTGGATCACTCTGAGGAGGATCACTGAGGAGGATCACTCTGAGGAGGATCACTCTGAGGTGGATCACTCTGAGGAGGATCACTCTGAGGTGGATCACTGAGGAGGATCACTCTGAGGAGAATCACTCAGAGGAGGATCACTCTGAGGAGGATCACACTGAGGTGGATCACTCTGAGGAGAATCACTCTGAGGTGGATCACACTGAGGAGGATCACTCTGAGGAGAATCACTCAGAGGAGGATCACTCTGAGGAGGATCACGCTGAGGTGGATCACTCTGAGGTGTTTGCAGTGCTGGTTTGTTCTGAGTGTGTGAACAGCTGCGTCCTTCATTGATCTCTGGATGCAAACAAACCTGAACAAGCAGAACATCTGATGGTTTCAGCTCTTCATTTGCTTCTGGTGACTGATATGAGAGGAATATCTTTATGTCTGGCCTGCAAACAAACAGCTTTTCACAATAAAAGCATGACAAAATTATATCTGAATCTTCTCAGCATTTTATCTGCAGGACAAAAAAGTGGTGATGATATTTAATAATATTTATCTGGATATGGTTTCTATTCGTTTCTGTTTCAATATGGGGCAAACATATTAATGAATGTAAAATGTTGCCTTAATTCAGTGCTTCTCAAATAGTGGGGCGCGCCCCCTTTGGGGGGCGCGGTGCGATACCTGGGGGGCGTGTGATCCTGGGGAACAGGCTTTTTTTTGGCCGTACTAGTATAAGTGTAATTGCGCACAGTAGGCGGCAGTGGCGCTCTCATTGTTACTTCTGTCACGTTTGCGACAGAGCAACATTTTACGACTTACAAGACAACAGGTTTGCCTTGGTTAGCAGTGTTAAGTCAACAAAAAGCTCCGACTGCGTTCTGTCTATGGCCTCCGTTATTCAACAACCCCCAACATGAAAGTTTTTCACAGGGATGAAAAGAAAAGCGGAGAGACAAAGATAATGAGACAACAAAAGTCAACCGAAAGCTAAGAAGAGGAAATACGACGAAGCGTATTTAGCGCTTGGCTTCACTGTGACTACAGTTGGAGAAGAGGAAAGACCGGTGTGTTTGCTGTGTCTAAAAATGCTCGCAGCGGACAGCATGAAGCCAAATAAATTAGCGCGTCACTTAAATACGTTACATCCCAATCACGCCGATAAGCCGCTAGAGTTTTTTCAGCGAAAAAAATGTTAAGGAAAATGTTATGCAGAGATGGATAGTCACGGTGGGGAGTGGGGGGCGCGAATAGTTTTCTTCTTGCTAAGGGGGGCGTAACGGAAAATAATTGAGAAGCACTGCATTAATTACATCAGATTACGTAGAATCCAAACAAACAACACAACATGCAAAAATAACAGAAAAGAAAGGCAATAAAAACATGATAGGGTTGGGAAAAAGTATTTTAAGATATTTATATCAAAGGCCACGTGTCTTTTGAGATGCTATAAATTGATATTTGCCATAAAATATTTGCAGAAAGAGGAAGTTCCTAAAAAGCACCCGATGTTCTTTAAGCTTCCTCTTGAAGCAGGTAGGTGGCGCTCTCTCTAACAGCTGATATATTCCAGCTCTACATCCTTGAACTGATAAAACATCCTGTGAAAATGAATATTTCTGAAGCTCAGTTTCCATTTCTACCGCTATAAGTGTAGAAGCTGCTCTTTGCATGAAGCTTGTGGCTTTTTTCAATTGTGTTAATGTGTGTGTGTGTGTGTGTGTGTGTGTGTGTGTGTGTGTGTGTGTGTGTGTGTGTGTGTGTGTGTGTGTGTGTGTGTGTGTATGGCTTCATGCTTTCACCCATGTTCAACAAAAGAAAGGAAAGGAAAGAAAGCATTTTTCTGGAGAACTCGCTGAAATAACAAAATGTGATGGCCTTTTTATAACTCCTTGTTGCCGTGGCGCCCAGTTTGTTCACACCTTTTCCCCCATAAGCACCTGTCAGAAGCTTTTTCCATTTTCTGCCTGTTCATTGGGCCGTCCACATTTTCCCCCAACATAGCAGATCCAACAAGATGGCTGCCCGGGCTGCTCCGAATCAGCCAATGGGAACGAGCGCTGCAGAGGCTGGGAAAGGCTGAGAACAGAGCTGCACAAGATCAGGAAAACAATCATAATTGATCCTTTATCAAAAAAAAAAAACTAATTTAGCAATGAATTAATCATTTACTCAAATATACAAACTCTAAAAAGACATTTGCTGAAAGAACAGGACGGTCCAAATGTCACCATCCTGCTGAGATTTACAGGCGTTATTATCCTCCTATTATATTCCTTTTTGAAGCCAGTCAATTTTCTTATTATACAAAACTTGATCTAATATTTCATTCATTTCTTAATCTAAATATTCCTCATTATATTTCATGTTGCAACTCCTGAACTCTTTAGTTGTAATTTTGTAGTTGTTTAACTAAAATGTTAAAAGCTCAGATGTTTAAATCTCTGAAGTCGTATTTATGATGATCGGTCATGACTGCAGCATCAACAAAGTTCACCAAGATTAGCTCTAGATGAAAGGCTGAATGAAATTACACCAAATCAGTCTGTTCAAAACATGAATTATGAGAATCAGTTCTGCAACACTGCTGCTCTCTTCCACAAAGGGGACGATGACACTGTGTGAGTTGTCCTTTCATTTTGAAGATCTTCCTCCTCTATGGGAGAGAAAGTATTCACAGCAGAAAGTTTAAAATGTGATGCAGTTCAGCCTGTCATTTAGAAAACCTCCATCAGACTAACTTCCTGTTTGGGCGAGCGAAGCAGAGAGACGCTGGTCACATGGAGGAGAGTTTCTGAACCAGTGGGCTGATGATCCATCACTGCTGCACATTCAGAGCGTTTTGCTTTCTGCCTGTCGGTTTGAGGCCGATGAAGAGGAGCTGCTCTTCTGGACTCTAAGTAGCAACACTTTGTTAATTGTTTGATCAAAAATACATGCTTTTCAATTGCAGCTGGAGAACTTTGAGTAGATTTATCCTTTAAACGGTAACGTCAGGTTCTAATATCTGTTGGTGAACAGAATCTGTAAAGAGATTCAACCAAACTCTGTAAAATCTCTATGGATGAAAATGTTTCTGATTCCTCCTAACCAGAGTGATAAAGCCACTGACTTCATAAAATGTGAATGTTCTTATTATGTACAATATTTCACAGTATCACACCATCAGTTCTTAGCAGCTCTGCTAATCCACCTCCTTTGCTTTTGCTCCTCTTCCTCCTGGTCTCTTTCTGTTTCTCTGTTTCATCTCCTCTGGGATTTCAGTTCAGTTACTGAGATGCTAATCAGTGTACCTTGTTGCCATGATTATGCATTAAAATAACTGTCTGAAAGCAAAAAGCAAAGAGCAAAACTCAGAGTAGAACCAGAGAGAATATTGATGACTGAATAGCAACGATTCGACCAGAAAGAAATGAAAACTGACGGCCCGACGCCAACATGCTGCGCGAGAGTCTGGCTGCCAGTCCTGATCCAACAACAGTACAACTCTGCCTTAAATCTAAGGCTTGAGTTTAGATTTAATTTAGTTTTAAAAAGCAGCATAAAACCTACAGCTGCTGTCGGTTTTCTGTTTGGTTTGAGTCCAGCAGCTTCTACAGGGTTTTCTGTGTCTATCAGCTCTTAACACATTATGTGATGCCTTGAAAAGTGGAGAAAAGAGTGTCATTATGTTGCTTATTCAGATAGATCTTTACTGTGCTGATTATTAACCCCATCATGGCCGCATGCTGCTGCAAACTCAGGCAGTGAGTTGATGGAGTTCAAATGTAACATATTGATTCCATAATTACACCTAATGTGGAAAAACATGCTCTTTATGAGGCTCTTTGCTGCACAGCGTTAGTTAATAGGCTCGTTTTCTATGCAAGACGCTAAAAGTTGATTAGAGCTCCTAATTTAGCTGAGGAACAAACGCAGTCAGACAGTGTTTTTCGCAAATACAGATTCTGTTTCTGCATCTCTATTAACCAGTCAAATGAATGTTAAACACGTGGAAATGAGTCTGAATGGAAGAGAAAGAGCTGAGATAGGAAAACTGTTCCTGTCCGTCAGGCGGTCCAGTGTAAACGCCGCCTCTTTCCTCTGGAGTTCAGCATCCACTGTTCTTTTGTCATTTTTAACTAGGAGTGGAATATGTTTTTGATTTCTGGAGCGTTCAACATCAGCCGGAGTCCTGAGGGGCCGACGCTTCCAACACGACCGCGGAGAAGCTTCTGAAACCCTCCGCTGAAACGTAACGCTCCGAAACCGTAAATGGGAGGAAGCAGATTTATCTTGCTGATGTCATGTCAGCTCCTTGCATCCATCCATTTCCTCAGTGCCATAAAGGCTTCCAGGGAAATTCCAATATTCCTCTGGAATCA